CTCATCCTCCTTCCCCTTTGTAGTATGTGTAAGGACCCACCCCACTTTGCATCTTAAGAAGACAGAACTCTTGGAATAGTTCTTCCAACAGGCATCCTTTATTAAGAGAAAATGGTTGCAGGCGTTCTAGACAGGACTTGGGGTCCAAGCTCTCCGATTCAAGGTTTTAAGGGGTTCCCCAGTAGCCCCACCCAATCACCCCCTTCTTCCAGCGACAGTCTCAGGCATTACACTCCCACCCCCTTTTCCTTACTGCCGGCTGGAGGGAGACTTCAGAGAGGAGTACATGAAAGGTAATAGCCCCATTGTTACGGTTAGTCCTTTTGGTGATACACACATCCAGTTCCTTTGAAGTGTACTGAAGGAAGTGAAGGCCATAAAGCCCCTTTGTTCACCCCCTTCAGAATCCATAGAAGGCAGAAGTGGGGTTTTTCATAATTGATAACTAGAGATGAAATATAATTGGATTCTGACAGTATGACAGAATCCAGAGAGGGCAGAAATGGGTTTTTTTTTTCCATAGTCGATAACTTAGAAATGAAATATAATTGGATTCTGACATTGACTTTGTGGCCTGTTTTCCCCTGCTGTAGGTTTGGCAACCTTTTGGAAGAAAAGCTCTTCGGCCATTCTGGAGGCGGCTCTGGGGGGTACTTGGAGCACATATTCAAACATGCAGCAAAGGAGCTCTTTGGCATACCAGTGAAGGAGCTTCACTACAAGACCCTGAAGTAAGGCGTTCGACTTCCTTCCTAGCCCTTTCGCCCCAGCCTCCCCTTGCCTTCACCCTCCTCCTGTCTCCCTCCAGTCCCAGAAGGGAGCAGGAAAGGGGCGTTCAGTCAGATCAGTCATAGTGTAAGGACCCACCCCACTTTGCACCTTAAGAAGACAGAACTCTTGGAATAATTCCTCCAACAGGCATCCTTTATTAAGAGAAAATGGTTGCAGGCATTCTAGACAGGACTTGGGGTCCAAGCTCTCCCATTCAAGGTTTTAAGGGGTTCCCCAGTAAGGGGGCCTGTGGGCAGGAGTGGGACAGGTCTGAGGGTCTCTGGCAGAAGGGGGTCCGACCAGGGCAAGTGCCAAGGCATGGTCCACTGGAGAAGCCTCACTGTTCCTCTCAAGCTATGTGGGTGGTGGTGCAGGCTGCCCAGAGCCCTGGGCAGCAGAGGTCAAATGCCCAGCCTGGCCCTTGAGCACCAAGCCCAGCCCCACTTCCCCAAGGGGGTGCCCAGCTGCACTGACCTTCTCCTCAAGGCTGCTGCTGCTGTGCTTGCTCTCCTTAGCCAGGTTGTTCATGATGGGTACCAGGGCAAAGTCAGAGAGAGACCGAATGCATTTCAGCATAGATGGCCACCACAAAATTGTACATTGGCTCCAGGTCGGCCAGCCTGGGCCAGGGCCAAGGCAGTGGGGGCCGTTCCCTCACTGTTTCCAGAATGGCTTCGCGGGCCACATGAAACCACTTCATGGGCCGCATCCGGCCCCCGGGCCTTGTGTTTGACATGTCTGCTATAGACTTTGGAGGATACATATCTTCCGTTTCTCCCCAGTCCATAGTGCTGCTAAAGCCCAGCTTGCTTTCTCCTCATGAGCCCTGGAGGAAAAGCAACTACTTGTTTTACGAAGAGAAGGACAAGGGGGGGGACATGATAGCAGTCTTCCAATATCTCAGGGGCTGCCACAAAGAAGAGGGAGTCAAGCTATTCTCCAAAGCGCCTGAAGGCAGGACAAGAAGCAACAGATGGAAACTCATCAAGGAGAGAAGCAACCTAGAACTAAGGAGAAACTTCCTGACAGTTAGAACAATTAACCAGTGGAACAACCTGCCTCCAGAAGCAATAAATGCTCCAACACTGGAAGTTTTTAAGAAGAGACTGGACAGTCATTTGTCCGAAATGGTGTAGGGTTTCCTGCCTGAGCAGGGGGTTGGACTAGACGACCTCCAAGGTCCCTTCCAACTTTACTATTATTATTATTATATTATTATTGTCTGTCATCCCCGATGCTCTTTCACGTTCCTCCATTCAGAAACAAGGATTTTCAAGAGGTGACGCTGGAGAAAGATGGCCAGACTCTCCTGCACTTTGCCCTGGCATACGGATTTCGGAACATCCAAAACTTTGTGCAGAAACTGAAGCGTGGAAAGCTGCCCTACCACTACATCGAGGTGATGGCTTGTCCCTCAGGTGAGGATGGCGGCTGCAGGTTTTCTGCGGCAGATGGCAGGAAGGGAAGAGACAAATGCCTGATGTGGTGATTCTAGAGCTCTCTGGGACCATTTCTGGAATTCTTTTAAGAGAGTCAATGGTACCTTCATAGTGAGGGATTCCTAGGTGCCATCGTGGCCTGCAGCATTTCCCTTGCGTCGTCCCTAAAATGATGCAAAACAAAATGCAGGCTACCCGTGTTTTGCTTCCAAGAATTCCTTTGGTTTACAAATAGGCCTTGGAAAATTACTTAGAAAATGAAATTGATGGACATTGGCAATTTAGGGCTTGGTTTAGACCAGGGGTGGGCAACCTTGGCTCTTTTATGACTCGTGGACTTCAACTCCCAGAATTCCTGAGCCAGCATGGCTCAGCTTAGAAACATCTCCCTTTCTCCTCAGCGTGGCTGGCTCAGGAATTCTGGGAGTTGAAGTCCACGAGTCATAAAAGAGCCAAGGTTGCCTACCCCTGGTTTAGACCATGAGTGTCAAACTCGCGGCGCGACATATTGCAACTTTTTTCCCATTGCCAGCAATGGGGTGGACACGGTCTTGGTACGATGCATCCGGTCCGTGGGCTGGCAGTTTGACACCCCTGGTTTAGATGGTAACTTCCCATCAACCCAGACAAGTAGGGGTCATAGGGAACATCCTGCATATCCACATTTTGTGAGGTAGTTCCCCCCCCCTTTTGCACTATATACCTAGAACAGCTCCTTATTTCCAACTTAATGACACACTGCCAAAAGTCCAACCTCCTCCAGCCCTCCCCTTGAGTTAGCAACCCCCAATTTAAGCCAAATGCGACTTTGCTTTTCTTGCCTTCAGCTGTGAACCCTTATTTTCCAGGGTGCTTAAATGGAGGGGGACAGATCAGAGCAGAGGGAGAATCCAGCAAGGATCTGCTCCATCATGTGGAGAGACTGTATGAAATGGTCCAGCCAGAAGACCCTGAGATGAACAAAACCATCAGGGACCTGTATGAGCAGTGGCTCGGTGGTCCCACTTCCGAACAGGCTCAAACTCACCTCCATACACAATACCATGCGGTGGAGAAAGCCAGCACAGGCTTTAATATTAAGTGGTAAATTTGCTCAGCTCGTGTAATCTAGTATAGGGGTCCCCTGTAGTGGTCTGTGGCCTGTTTGCAATTGGGCCCCACACACACACCCCACTCGACTCATACGAGCAGCAGGCATGCACATGTGTGTGCAGTTCACAGTCAAACTGTGTGCATGCCGGCCCATCGCTTAGGTGGCCCGCTTCCCCTTTCCTCAGCTGGGCCGCCAAGTTGCAAAGGTTGGTGACCGCTGATCTAATGGATCCCTTTTTGCTGCCGATGAAGCGGAAAGTTTCGTTTTTAAGCAAATAGTCCTATCAAAGATTTATATTTGAATTTTTAAAAGTGTAAGGTGAAGAATTGGCTTCACAATAGACAGCAGTGCTCTCCACTCGATTTCTCGTCTCACCAGATCTTTGAGGCAGAAAATTGGACTGTTGTTAGTTTACTCTTTCTACAGCTTCACCCCTTTTTTCCTACTCCCACAGGAAGTTAGAATTTATGAAAGGAGCTTTTCTGAATAACTGCATGAAAGCAAAACGATCCGGGTTAAATTTGGCATTTAGGGAGAAGGGACCAAAATAAAATAAAGAAAAATGTGAATGGTTTGGATGTCTATGGAGGAAAAATAGTCCTGAAACTTTCCTCATAATGAATCTGGATCGCTGAGGCTGTTGAGTAGCAGCACCAGTCCACGTCTCTCTCCGGTCATGTGGCACAAAGTGGAACATTTGCAGACTACCCTGTTCAAGTCCACATGCGACATAAGGGGAGGACAGAAACATAACTCCCACCCTGTGTATCGCAAAGGCTGTGTATACGAACACTCACAACCATCAATAAAATAGAGATTGATCAGAGAACATAGAATCAGGTTTCCATGTTGTCTCATTTCTATAAGGGCTGCTCAGAACTTGCCTACCATGTGGGTGGGAGGCTTTTGTATCTGAAAGTACAGCTTTGCATCTGCCTGGGTGCTGGAGCAGCAGGCACAGCGTACTAGTTTTTTCCAAATCTCTCAAGTGAGAAAGGTGCAGTACAGTGGAATTGTTGCACTGTTTCAGCCTGCCCCAAAACTTTAACTGGGGAGGAAACAACCTCAATGAAGGGAATTTTAGACCCTACAAGAACAAAAGGGAGAACAGGAAGACCTAAACAGTTCTTCCATCCGAAAGTGAAGGCAATTTAGGTTTGCTGGCTTGGAGATGCGTTGCGCAATCTGCTCTTACAGGATTCTCTTGACTTTTCTCATTTTTACACACATTAGCAAGCTTCCTATCATCCCAATTTTAGATTGCTTACATTTGCCTTTGGGGATCAACCTGAATTAGCCCATTCTCATCTGTTAAGGATAAAAAAAAAAAAAGAGAAGACACATTAAAGTACTTTCCTCATTTCTACAAAGTATTGAATTGATGCCCAGCGAGGGACTTGGGCTGCAGAATGTGCAGAAGACAACAAATCTGCCTTACTCAGCTGCTTAATCACAGCAAGGTTTTCCTTTCTAACTCACGAGATTCCACCCCACCCAACAGCTTCTGGCCAGGATGGTGCAGCTTCAGCCTGCCCTTTGAGCCTCATGCTCAAAGCTATCAGCCATGGAGGTCAGTCTCACCAACTGTCTTAATGATTCAGTCTCAATCATCGGACAGGGCTATGGAGGGAAAATTAGGAGGAACGAATGCTATGCACACTTGCTTTGAGCACCTGAAGGATTTAAACCCCAACAAAACAATTCTTAATTTTTTTTTTAATTACAAGTGAACAAATAGCTGTCATTCAATTCATCGTAAATTGGGAGGCAGGCAACCATGTACTTCCCTCCTCCGTTTTGCACGGCTCCATGGCGCCTGCCTTCTGCACAGAACGAAGGTGTTACTTCGGCGCTCATCGTCATATTTTTCAGCAAGAACTGGAAGTAAAGGATGCCGCTTTCCTCCTCCGTGAAATAGGGGAAGGCAACTTTGCAGCATTTGATTCTACGGGCACGGGGAGGAGGGAGTCAGCCCTTCCTCGACAGCGCCCGTGTCCTCACCACGGCAGGAAGGGGTTCACTTTTGCAGGAGGGGATCAAAAAGCCCCCACTCAAATGCCAGCATAGCCTGAGGATTGAGCTGCTCTTTGGGTTTCCGGAAACTCTCTTTGGCCTTGCAGAGAGCAGCGAAGACCTCGACAGGAACCGACTTGCCCGTGAACTTCTGGACTGGTTCTTCCCTGGAACAGCAAAGGGCCCACTTAGCAAACCCAAGAGAGGTTTCCGCCAAAACTTCAGATGCTATCACACTACTACACAGATGTACAGGAGGGAGCAAGGAGCTGGGGGCCTTTTTGCAAAAACCAACTGGTTCCCCAGCAGGGATAGGAGGTGCCTGAATTGTCCTTAGAATCTGAAGGCAACCATCACCGTCTTGAATTATAATTGGTTTTGTGGTCTATTTTGCAGAGCAGGGGTGTTAGAATGCAGTATTGCAGAATGCAGTGGTTAGAATGCAGTATTGCAGGCTAACTGCTCACTGCCAGGAGTTCGATCCTGATCCGCTCAAGATTGACTCAGCCTTCTGTCCTTCCAAGGTCGATAAAATGAGGACCCAGATGGTTGGGGGCAGTATGATGACTCTGTAAACCATTTGGAGAGGGCTGCAAAGCACTATGATAAGCATGTGATTGAAGCCCTTTCCCTTTTTATGCTTAAACACAAAAGGGGCAGGCCTTCAATCACATGATCAAGTCCAGAACTGTGGTCTCTCCGATGCTGTCGTTGCAAATATCCTGGAATAAACCACAAAGGCTGATTCTGGCATGAGGCTTTGTTGTAAATGAGGTTAGTTTATCCTGCCTTAGCTCGATAAATAATCCAGCCAATGGCCAATCTCATTGCCTACCTATTCCCGATTGTCTTAGGTACCCAGCATCTTTTCTCAAGACTGTGCTCTGGCTGTGGAGTGTTTCTCTATGATCCCAGAAAAGATGCATCGGATGAGCACTCTGTGGCCCCACTTTGTGCTTCTAAATCCAAGATGCTGCACATTCTAATTCAAGATAAAAGTAAGCCTTGGCTGGATTTGCACCAAACAGTAAAACTGTTGTGAGAACCCAACTCTTTGGCATCTTGTTAGAACATGTTCCACCCTATTGAAATCGAAAGGGATAATTTGTGTTTTGGCATTCAGCGTATTGTGTGAACCCAGACAAAACAAGACCCTTATAGCCTGAGGGACAGGATTCAGAAGTTGGATGATCTGGGGAACCCCAAGTTCAGATCCACTCCGGACGTGTTCTGAAGTGCAGCAATACCCAGAAGCCCACTCTCAGCCATGAAAGTTGGGTTGGTCCAGTGGTTCTCAACCTGTGGGTCGGGACCCCATTTGGGATCGAACGACCATTTCACGGGGGTCGCCAAACAACGCAGTCCGCCATTTTTTCCCCCTTTTCCTTAGCTGTGCTGCTCCCTTTTATTCTATTGGCTTTGGAAAGCCAACAGAATAGACTCTCTTGAATAGAGTCTAATTCTATTGGCTTTCAAAAGCCAATAGAAATTGTCCAGGCTGTCTCTGCCCTGCTGAGCCCGCCAAAAGTCCCATTCTGCAAACGGTGCTGCACCAGTTGAGTAGTCCTCGACTTACGACCGGTTGAGTAGTCCTCGACTTACGGTCGGTTGGGGGTCGTGGCATTAAAAAGGTTGAGAACCACTGGGTTAGTCAGTCCCTTAGCCCACCAACCTGACGGGTGGCTGGGGTGAGTGGTGGGCACTGAACACATGGCCCTGAGTTCCTGGAGGAAAGCTGGGACAGAAACCAAAGAAAAAAACGCGCCCCCCCTCCTCTAAAGAAAGGTGGGCTCACAAGATGCGAAGAAACGGGTTGTAGAGGAACTCCTCAGCCAAAGTAGAAGGCACTGTTGGGAGGTCTTCATCTTCTCGGAGCTGTGAAAGAATAAATCAATGATTTCATTTAATTCAGAACAGAGCTGGAAAGGACCTTGGAGATCTTCTAGTCCAGGCATCCTCAACCGTGGCAACTTTAAGACTTGTGGACCAACTCCCAGATTCTGGGAGTTGAAGTCCACAAGTCTTAAAAGTTGCCAAGGTTGAGGACCCCTGTTCTAGTCCAACCCCTTGCACAAGAAGAAGACCCTATTACCATTCCGGACAAATGATTGTCCAGTCTCTTCTTGAAAACCTCCAGCGATGGAGCCCCCACAACTTCTGAAGGCAAGCCCTTCCACTCGTTAATTGTTCTCACTGTTAGGAAGTTTCTCCTTAATTATTAAAAAAAATAACGAGACCTTTTCCACATCCTAGTGGTTGATCCTGAGGATCAACAAAAGGCTTAGATGAGGAGGCCCACTCTGGCCTCTGACTGAGCAAACGGGGGTATTTCCAAATACTTTGTGGTTGTTTTTTTGAAAAAAAAATCTAAATGAACAATGGAAGCATAAAAGGGAGGCTTTCAACCATCCAGAGTTGGTTTTTTTAAGTTTTTTTACCCCCACAAACACCCCTGCCAGCAATCAAGACTTGTATTCCATTGTTCAGTAGTTTAGAATGATGGCTTCTGCCACCAATGTTGGCTTATACCGGAAGCCAGGATTTAAACAATCCAGAGTCCAACAGGATTTTTGAAGCAACCACTAAGCTAATTAGAGACTGAGGTTACTGGTCTATAATTATGCTTTTCTGGTTATAAAGGGTCAACTTTCCATCTTGTTCTCATTTCAGAAAGATGAAAAAGTGGGAGAACAGTATAGATAGAACCACTCACTTTAGCCCAAAGGAGCTTTTCTTTCACAAATTCATTCTCTGGTTCCACCTTTAAGGCAAACTTCAAATTCTGGGTTGTGTACTCATGTCCACAGAAGATTTTCTGAAAAGGAATTTTTTTTTTTCAGGCTACCATGTTAGGAGTAATTCACTTTGGAATCCCTTCCATCCCCAAACTTCTTTGCTGTGATCGCCAAGGTCCCGAGTGACATTTGTCAAAAACCAGAAATGTGGTTTCTCACACTTCTGAGGAAATGAAAACACAAAAAGACAAAGCGATTCATAAAATACGGCTAATTTTTTAAAATTAAGAACTGACCCTCTTCTGAGTTCTCCTCTATCTGGGATGGGGCAATCAAAAAATATATATTATGTGATATTACCCACCATTTATTGGGGATGTTTTAATTTGTATTCTTGTCCTCGCGGGTTGTTTTGCCAACTATCCGCTTTACCTTCTCCGAAACTGCTACCCAGGCACTGTATAACTTTCAATATTTTTAATCAAATAAAAATCGCTATCAAATCATGGTATAAAATGGAACCGCAGCCCTTCCCATTACAATCCCAGATTAAAATTTAGGCTACCAGAACTAAACTAACAGAGCTTGAATATTTAAACACCACACAACAGTTAGAAGCATGGAAAACTGGAAAAGGCTTCTGGAATGGGTGGTAGCAAGGTGACCGCAGTGGGTTTGCTGTGGTCAGCTGGGTATTGCTGACCACAGGTGGGACAGTTGCAGCCAAGGCAGCTAGGGCCGAGGGGTTGAGTGGAGGTCCTGGACCCCCAGACCCCTCAGCCTGCCTTCTGGCAGCAAGTTTTGCCTAAACCACGGGTCGGCAACCCACGGCTCCGGAGCTGCAGATGGCTCTTTGAGCCTTCTCCTGTGACTCCCAGCCTCCTCCGCCATTTGTAGAGAGAGAGACAGAGAGGCACTTGCGCTTCCCTTCTCTCTCTCTCTCTCTCTCTCTCTCTCTCTCTCTCTCTCTCTCTCTCTCTCTCAAAAAGAGAGTGGCCTCACACTGTTCTCGGACAAGTTTATTGGGCGGGGCTCCTGCCTTTGCTGCATCTCAGCAGGAAACAGGAAGCAGCAGCTCTCTCTGTCTCTCTCTCTCTCTCTCTCTCTCTCTCTCACACACACACACACACACAAACACACATACACTGAGTGGGGGAAGAGGACTGGCAGACCAAGGGCAGGAGAGAGCCAGCCCAATAAAAATGTGTGTCAGCTTGTCGGAGAACAGTGTGAAGCCAGCTTGTCAGGTGAACAGAAGATCAGAGAGAAGGAGGGGGGAGAGAGAGGGAGGGAGACAAAGAGAAGGAGAAGGAGGGAGGGGAGAGAGAAAAAGAGAGAGAGAGAGAACTCATGCACAGCAGCCTCTATTTCTTTTTAATTAAACTCTTCAATCAAGCTCCTGCTCCTTGCGTGCGTGTGCGCAACTTTTGCAGCCCCCGTTTTTCTTTTCTCTGGGAAACGGATCCAAGTGGCTCTTTGAGTGTTTAAGGTTGCTGACCCCTGGCCTAAACCTTCTATGCTCCTCTATCCCCACTGCTGGCCCTCAAGTGGGAATGTCTATAGAGATTCCAAGTCATCCAGATCATGGTTGTCCCAAAGGTGCTTTTTCAGGAGTCAACTGGACCTCCTTGTTTTTCTTTGAAGACATTTCTGAACCATTTGTGTTTCAGTTTGAGATGCAGACCACACAGACTCATCCCAACAGCCTGTGCCTGTCTTCAACAGTGAAGGGACCCAGGGCAGAAAAAATCCAGCAGCCAAGAAGGCTCCACGCCCATTTGTACCAGCCAAGAAGGCTCCACGCCCATTAAACCTCCAGGTGGCCTCAACGACTCTTAAAAGGATGCAAATGACCAGCTGTCGGCAAGGAGTATAAATCCTTCCACTCTCCACCGTCCAGTCAGAGCTGAAGAAGCTTCTTGGATGAGAAGTGAAACATCTTCAAAGAAAAACAAGAAAGTCCCATTGTCTCATAAAAAAGCACCTTGGGGACTTCAAGTGGGAACCACAAGAGGGCAGGGCTCTTTCCTCGGATTTGGGACCTGGCACATCAGCGGCGTCAGAAGCAACTCAAACCTACAGTCTCCTTTGGCAACCCGCCCAGGACCTCCATCAGGCTGTTGTGCAGCTGTTCAGGTGGGCATTCCAGGAGTCTCCCACAACCACCGACAAATAAGGTGTCGCCTAAGAACAAAGGGAAAACGTACAATCGAGCCAGAATCCCCCATGGGATTACCATGCAAACGGAAGGAATAGATGGGCATATGGCCAGTCTAAAATGGCAGCTTTTCCCGCTGAAATTCTGATGATGATTTAACTTGGTGTTCAAGTTAAAAGCTTATTATGTGAATAGATAATCAGTCAGGCCAGTTTTGTGCAAAGTACAGACTTTACTGATAAGCAATGGTTCTTTTCCTTGACACTTACACTGTTGCTTTCAGTTAAGGATGCCGGGAAATAGGCGATGCAAAGAAGCACAAAAGGGCTGGAACTATTCACACAACATGCTGCTTAGAAGATCATTTATATACCCAGCAGATGCATTCTGCTAAGCTTGGTCACCTAATCTTGTTGACGTTATTAATTTGGGCGTCTTGCCGTGGTGCACATACCCTACTGTGTGAACCTAGAAAGCGAGTTAACCCAAAAGCTGCTTCAACAGCTTTGTGCGTATGAGCAATTTCCCCGTTTCCTAGGCTCCAGCATGTCATCAACTGGGAGCATAACTGCCATTCATTTCTCAGGACCGACCTGTGAAAGCTGCAGGAGCATTCAGAGAATCGTTTTCCCACATGAAGTAGCAGACGTGTCCAGCGGTGTGGCCTGGCGTGAGAAGGCACCGCACATTGATGCTGCCAAACTGTCCAAGAGAAAGGAGGGTGGGTTTCTATGTCAAAGTCCAAGACAGCTGCCAACCATGCTCCCGTACACTTGCTGAGTTCCCACAACATTCCAGGCTAGGCCAAAATAGGCTGGGCTCCTTCATGGTTCTGTGCACAATGGGAAGGCAGCCTTTGCCTTAGCGAGGGGGGTGACCGATCCTGGGAAAGCATCAGTTCAATAGTGGCAAATATCTGTAGCTCAGGTATCGGATAAGAGTGGAGGTCCATTCTCCAAGCTTGTGGGTTTGTTTCTGAATGTTTCACCAACATCTTCAGCAGAATTTAGAGGTTGTCAGTGTCAGTGTGCTGGAGGAGACTCCTGCGAGTCCCCCGGACTGCAAGGTGATCAAACCGGTCAGTCCTAGAGGAGATCAACCCTGACTGCTCTTTAGAAGGCCAGATCCTTCTAAACTCAAATACTTTGGCCACCTAAGGAGAAGGAAGGATTCACTGGAGAAGAGCCTAATGCTGGAAAAGATTGAGGGCAATAGAAGAAGGTGACGACAGAGAATGAGGTGGCTAGATGGAATCACTGAAGCAGGAGGCGTGAGCTTAAATGGACTCCAGAAGATGGTAGAGGACAGGAAGGTCTGGAGGAACGTTGTCTATGGGATCGCGATGGATCGGACACGACTTTGCAACTAACAACAACAGTGTCAGTGTTCTTCTGATTATAAGAGCTTTGTGTGGTCAGTTGGTCTTGTGATGGGGAGGTCACCTCCCAAAGATCCACACCTGACGTGACCTCCCCATCACAAGACTCTCACCTGACGTGACCCACACCTGACGTGACCTCCCCATCACAAGGACCTACTGAACACACGAAGTTCTTATAAGCACAAGAACATGGATACTGACATCTCCTCAATTCGCTGAAGATATTACCTAGACTGGTATCAAAACATTTGGAAACCAACCCACGAGCTCGGAGAACGACCCTCCACCTTCAAACGTCAATTCCTCCAAGGTGATGGTGGAGGAAAACACCCTGCGGAGAAGTCAAGTCACAAGGAAAACCATGCAGCCGCCAGCAGCACAGCAGGCTGAGCATGGACCTGCTGTCACAAAGGGCAGGCAAAAGGTGGACAGGAAAAGGCCAGGACGTTGCAAACTTCAGCTGCACCCTAAATGCCTACCCCGGCCAATTGCTGAAAAGGATCAACAGAGTGAGCCGAAGGAGATACACTAACCCTAACGCATGAAGGAAAGTGCAAACAGTGTGAATTGCATCACCTGGGCACGTCCTGGGAGGGAAAGAAGAAATCAATTTGTGTCATGGGTGTCATGGTGTCACATACGAATGAAATCCCTGTGGGTAGTTTTGGACTTTTCTGTAATTCAGGCATACTATGATACCCCAATAATACTGAAGAAAGGAGTGGTCCATTCCACGCTTACCTTTAATTCCTCCTCATGAGTCACCTGGTGTGTGAGAGCTCCCACCCGTGTGTCCCCACCATATACCTGCAGGCCGGGGTAAACTTTGGCCAGTTCTTCATTGTCTCTTGCATGATCCCTTGGGAAAGAGAAGAGGAAATAGTTTTTCTCTCCAAATGTCCAGCTTGGAAGAGAGACACGAGGCTTGTCAAAAAGAAAGCACAACTCTTCTAGTTTTTCAAAACGTGTCCACCCCATTGACAGGCAGAGAAGCTCTTTGATTTTTTTTTTTTGTCCCCAGTTTTAACAAATTTAAAAATTATTCTTCAATAATTTCTCCAGAATTTCTGGAATTGAAAAAATGTTCAGTTATGAGAATGGAATTTTGAAGTGCTTAAATTGATTAGGTGATTTTTGTGTATAACAATATGATCTGATAAGGTATGATAATTAATTGGATGGAATTTGAAGTTTGTGTAATGAATTGAAAGGAATTAAGGTTTAACATTTTTTTTTCTTCTTTTCTTAAGTCAGTTATTATTGGAAGAAGAAATGAATGAGATTGGTGATAAAAAGAGGGATGAGAGAGATTGAGAACTTTAATATATCTGGTAGAGATATTCGAAGTAATAATTTGTTGATGTAAAATAATATTTGATTATGGCAATTGTAAATTGATAAAGTTTTCAAAACAGGTTGAGTAGTAATAGAAATCTAAGCTAGAAATGGAATATATTAAATTTATTATGTTATCTGTGGGAAATAGAGAGATGACAGTGAATGTATTAAGTTGAGCGGTTTATCTATGTTTGTTTGTTTTTTGGAATGTTTGTTTACCCAAACACCACGGTGTGCCTTAAGTACCTTTTGTTAAAATTAAAAAACCAATAAAATATATATTTTTAAAAAATAATAATAATAATTTCTCCAGAATTGGGCTACCTCTTAACTACTGAAAAATTCCTCCCCTTGGATTTGAAGGGGGGCTGCAGTTGTTTCATTTGTGCCCCACGAACTCAGCCCACCTTGAACCTGAAGAGGGAGGAAAGTTGTGGTTCTCTTGTCCCAAACAACCAGGACAAGAGCCACACAAACACACTTACCAGTGGCAATGGGTAGTCAGGATGGCTTTTAGAATAACGACCTCTTTCCGGATGATCTCCAGGAGCTGGGGGGAAAAAGAAACCCACAAAGAGCATAGTGCATCTAGATTTATTCCAAATGATTTTTTTTAAGTCCTTCCATTTGTATTCATGGGCCGTAGTGGCGCAATAATTAGAATGCAGTATTGCAGGCTAATTATGCCGACTGCCAGCAGTCCGGTCCTGATGGGGCTCAAGGTTGACTCAGGCTTCCTGTCAGAATCCAATTATATTTCATTTCTAGTTATCAACTATAGAAAACCCCATTTCTGCCTTCTCTGGATTCTGTCATATGATGAAGGGGAAGGGGTAAACAAAGGGGCTTTATGGCCCTCACTTCCTTCGGTACACTTTAAAGGGATTGAATGTGGATACCACCAAAAAGGCCTAATCATAACAAAGGGGGCTATTACCTTTCATGTAGTTTTCTTTGAAGTCTCCCTCCAACCGGCAGTAATGAAAAGAGGGTGGGAGTGTAATGCCTGAGACTGTCGCTGGAAGGGGGTGATTGGGTGGGGCTACTGGGGAACCCCTTAAAACTTTGAATCGGAGAGCTTGGACCCCAAGTCCTGTCTAGAACGCCTGCAACCATTTTCTCTTAATAAAGGATGCCTGTTGGAAGAACTATTCCAAGAGTTCTGTCTTCTTAAGATGCAAAGTGGGGTGGGTCCTTACATTTCCATTCTTCTGAGGCTGGTAAAATGAGGACCCAGATTGTTGGGGGACGTGCCCACTCTGTAAACCGCCTAGAGTTTTGTAAAGCACTATGGGGCGGTATATAAGTCTAAGTGCTGTTGCTATTTAACATTTCTTTCACTAAGAATCAAAGGAAACTCACGCAGGGATTTGTTGATCCGAAGACTTCCAATAGTTGAAAATCAGTTATTAATTAATTTCTGAAAGCAATTAGGAAAGGAAGTATGCAAGCCCACTGTCGAAAGTACTGATGGCTATTCCATCTCCTAGAGCAAGGGTCTTCAAACGTGTCCCTTTTATGACTTGTGGACTTCAATTCCCAGAATTCGTTGCTGGCTGAGGAATTCTGGGAGTTGAAGTCCACAAGTCATAAAAGGGACAAGTTTGAAGACTCCTGTCCTAGAGTCTAAACTCGCCGGAAACCACTGTCTTATGGTCTCCTTGCTAGGAGCAACTGAATAGAGCATTTGTAGGAAATCTCAAAACGTCCCAAATTCCATTCCAAAGAGCCAGTCTAATCATCGTCTCTTCATTTTGCTGCAGTCATTGGCTACACCTTCAGCGGTTGCTGGTGGGTGTGGCCCATTGGGTGGGCCTGGTCCATTGGGTGGGCTTTAGTGGTAACGACAGACTGGGTGGGACTAAAAAGTTCAATCGATCAATTCCAACTTTGCAAGACCTTTTTTTTTCCCCGTGAAAAGTTGAAATTGACTGATTGATTGAACCTTTTTTTTTGCACACAGCGGCAGAGGCCTAAGGCGAAAAGGTTTTATAAAACCCAGCTGAAGGCCTAGGACTGGGGCGATGGCACGCGTGCCCACAGAGAAGGTTCTGCGTGCCACCTGTGGCACGCGTGCCATAGGTTCGCCACCACGGCCCTAAGGGCCTTGAAAGCTGCTCCAAAGGAAACCAACATCTGCCACCGGCCCCTATTTTATAATTTCTTCCAAGCCTCTTTCTGACCCCATTTACCCGCTTGGAAACAGCAGCATCCACTGCAACGGCCTGTCGAGTGGTTTCTTCAATGATCAGGTACATGTAATTGTCTTCCAGAATTGAAATCACTTTGACCTTCATGCTCCAGAGATTCAAGGGTCATTGGAAGCAAACTGCCCAAAGGAAAACCACATTGATTAAAAACAACGCCAAACCACCTTGCCTATTTTAATTACCTTGTCTTGCACACTTCCGTACACTCTGTAGTTGCAGCAGCATGATTCTAATTGATTCCAAGTCTTTCTTATCTATCCTTTGTTGTGCTTAAGATCTGGAAACCCCTTTCAAATTCTTAATTATGCAACCACAAGGGCTGGAAATATAGAATACCTTTAGATCCATTGGTCTAAACATTCAGTGCAGGAGTTGCACAAGCTTTTCCTTCAGTTTTTTACTCACTGAACAAGCAACTGGGGAGAGTAACAGTAGTTTGTGAGGGTTGTTTAGTGGGGGAATTCCTAACCATTTTGGCAAGATCCTACTGCAAGACCCTGGGATGGAAATAGGGAGTGGGGGGGACTTTACAAGGGGATACATTACACGGCAAAAGGGAAAATGGGTTTTGTGTCTGCCATTGTGCAAAGGTAGGTTTGTCTTCTTATATGAAACCCCCCCACCCCCGTCCCGATATATATTTGTAGTAATCTTACAGCGGAAGAATTCCAGCAGGAAACAACTGCTTTGGTTTAGCTCAGTGGTTCTCAACCTGTGGGTCGGGACCCCATTTGGGGTCGAACGACCATTTCACGGGGGCGCCAAACAAGGCTGTCCGCCATTTTTTCCCCCATTTTCTTTGGCCACGCCCCTGGCACCCAGTGATGTATAAGTGGTTGGGGGTCACCACAACATCGGGAACTGTATTATGGGGTCACGGCATTAGAAAGGTTGAGAACCACTGGTTTAGCTAGTGAGAAAGAAGGCAATGTTAGAGAAATAAAACCTTACAAGAGAAAGCTGAAGCAGCCCCCCCCCCCTACTTTCCCAACACAGGAAGAAACCAGCAGAATCAAGTTAGCCAAGCTGCTGTGGGACCACTCCCAATGGACATAAACCTTTAGTAAAGCCACACTTGGAATACTGCATCCAGTTTTGGTCAACATATTACAAAAAAAGATGTTGAGACTTTGGAAAAAGTGTAGAGAAGAGCAACTCAGATGATTAAAAGGTCTGGAGACAAAAACATACGAAGAACAACGGTTGCAGGATTTGGGTATGTTCCAATTTAGAGAAAAGAAGGACTAAGGCCGACGTGATAGCAGAATTCCAGTATTTGAAGGGCTGCCATAAAGAACAGGGGGAAGGGGGGGGGTCAACCTATTTTCCAAAGTCGCTGAAGGCAAGACAGGAAACAATGGGTGGAAACTAATCAAGCAGCCTAGAAATAAGCTTTGCTGGCTGAGGAATTCTGGGAGTTGAAGTCCACAAGTCTTAAAGTTGCCACGGTTGAGGACCCCTGGCCCAGGGTCTCCTGCCTGAGCAGGGGGTTCGACTAGAAGACCTCCAAGGTCCCTTCCAGCTGAACTGAACTGATTCCAGCTGGGGAAGGCTGCCTGAGGCCCCTTTGGCAAGGGGGGATGATTCCTCAAGAAGCTGAAATTGGGGCACTGCCAGTCACCCCACTCTGGGAAGCTTCTCCATTCCAGGCCCAACTTCACACAATCCAGGGTTTCTCCATCGCGGCCACTTTGAAGATGGCTGGACTTGCACTCCCAGCATTCCTCCGCCTAGGCAGGCTATGGGCAGGGGGAATTCTGGGAGTTGAAGTCCACCCACCTTGAAAGCAGCCGAGGTTGAGAAACATCACTCTAGAGCAGTGTTTCTTAACCGTGACCATTTTAAGGCATGTGGACTTCAACTCCCAGAATTCCACAGCCAGCAATGCTGGCTGTGGAATTCTGGGAGTTGAAGTCCACATGCCTTAAAATGGTCACGGTTAAGAAACGTCACTCTAGAGCAGGGCTCTTCAAACTTGGTCCTTTTATGACTCGTGGACTTCAGCTCCCAGAATTCCTCGGCCAGGCATGCTGGCTGAGGAATTCTGGGAGTTGAAGTCCAGAAGTCATAAAAGGGCCAAGAAGACCCCTCTGATTGTGGACTTCAACTCCCAAAATTCCCCAGCCAGGCATGCTGGCTGAGGAATTCTGGGAGTTGTAGTCCACGAATCATAAAAGGGCCAAGTTTGAAGCCCCCTGCTCTAGTCTAGAGCAGGGGTTCTCAACCTTGGCAACTTTAAGACTTGTGGACTTCAACTCCCAGAATTCCTCAGCCAGCTCTAGAGGAAGCTGCGGGTTCAGGTGCGAGTCTAAATCCCAACAACAACCATTTGGGAGGCCAAGCTGGCCCCTCAAGCCTCCCGGCCTGGAGCGAGCGGCGGCTCCCCCTGCGCCCCCCGCCCTTCCCCGGAGCCCCCCCTCCTCCCTCCCCGCCCCGCCCCCCACCTGCCTTGAGACCGGCCGCAGCCAGCGAAAAGCCCCGCCTTCCTGGGGGAGGGTGAGAGTTGTGTGGAACCGCCGCCCCCGCCCCCTCCCTCCCGCCTTCCGGGCACGCGCAGAACGCCTCTCCCTAACTAAGCGAAGTGGCTCCGCGGAAAAGGGAGGGGGACCTACGCTCGGAAGAGCCGCAGGCGGGGGACAGCAACCAGAGGGCGGGGATCAAACCCCGGGCTGTCCCTGGGCTCCTCCCCCCGCGGCTTCCGGCTGGCCAAGGCTCGCGGCGCGTCTACGCATGCGCAGCTCTTCCGCTTAACGGGGTAGGCAGTTTTGGCTCTTTTATGACTCGTGGACTTCAACTCCCAGAATTCCTGAGCCGGCCACGCTGAGGGGAAAGGGAGAGGTTTCCATGCCGAGCCCTGCTGACTCAGGAATTCTGGGAGTTGAAGTCCACGAGTGATAAGAGCCAAGGTTGCCTACCCCTGGACTAGATCACTAGACATACTTTGTTTGGTTAACCGTTCTTTATCCTGCTGATGGTCTGTCTGTCAAAACAAAGCAAGTTTATGGCATACACTTGAAAGAAGACCAGGAAGTCTGTAATTAGGGAAGTTTGTCTGGCAAGAACCAAGAATGTGTGCAGGGAATATGCAGGTGTAAAGCTTGTAACAATTCTGCGTGGTCAAAAAGCTGATAAAAATAACAAAAGACTTAGGCATCTTGCAAGCTCAGCTAGAAGCTAGGAATAGAGATGGCCTGGAGCAAATAGTATGTGTATTAGATAACTCCTGAAGCATTCATTAGCCAAGCCTTAGGAATAGGGAATGCTAGAGACCAATAGAATAACTGTTAAGATTATTATTGAAATGTTTATTAGATATTTCTTACATATCCCACCTTATCCCGCCTTCTGCTTCAGAGAAAATGTATAAAGCTTTATTAATTCTGTGGTTCGAGGTTCCCTGGCATTTTGGCCAGGATCCCTTTTCTTGGAGCGCTTCAATAAAAGACAACAAAACCTGCACCTCGTGTCTGGTGTTCTTCATCGGCCCCAGCACCAGGCTCAGACCCGAATTGGGGACAACATGCAGACCCCTTATCTTTGTTGCTCTTCTCTGCACTCTTTCTGGGGTCTCGGTTCATCTCCTTGCTTCATGGAGTGTTTGCAGTCACATGGAGATAGCTGACCGCTGCTTGCTTCTGGGATATTTTTTACATCTCAGTGTGGTTTTCTTGTTGATCTTCTGTCCACGTATTATAAAACAGAATCATAGAAACATACCCCCTTCCCAACCCAGCCTAGCTTTCAAATCCAACCCTACTGTGAAAATTCCCCAAGACTGTTTTCATTTCGCAAAGTTAAAAGAGATGCTCTTTTGTCATTATTTAGTACAAGTCAAATGGCAAATCTGGACAGCCTGCTAAAAAGCAGAGTCATCACCCTGGCAACAAAAGTACGTATAGTCCAGGCCATGGTTTTCCCAGTTGCAATGTATGGCTGTGAAAGTTGGACCATAAGAAAGGCTGAGCGCCAAAGAATGGAGGCCTTTGAACTATGGTGCTAGAGAAGACTCCTGCGAGCCCCCTGGACTGCAAGGCGTTCAAACCGGTCAGTCCTAGAGGAGATCAACCCCGACTGCTCTTTAGAAGGCCAGATCCTGAAGTTGAAACTCAAGGACTTTGGCCACCTAATGAGAAGGAAGGACTCACTGGAGAAGAGCCTAATGCTGGGAAAGATTGAGGGCAAGAGAAGAATGGGACGACAGAGAAAGAGGTGGCTGGATGGAGTCCCTGAAGCAGGAGGCGTGAGCTTAAAGGGACTCCAGAAGATGGCAGAGGACAGGAAGGCCTGGAGGAACGTTGTCCATGGGGTCACAATGGGTCAGACACGACTTTGCAACTAACAACAAATATAAGTCACTGGTGATTTCAGGATGGGTTAGAAAACATTCAGGAAAAAGACCCATTACACCTTGTAAAACATGTTGAAGTTTGGAGGAGGAGGAGGATGAAGAAAAAGAACCAAAATCATACCACTGGTTCACAGCCAGTGCAAACTGAAGGCAGGGTGCTTGTAACATTAGAGTACAGAGGAAATGACAGTTTTAAGAAGGTATCCTGAAAATTTGACATGGACAGACTCATGTTTCCTTTGACCAGGCTCCTTCCAAGACAGTCGAGGTCATGTTGGTTTACAAACGTCTTAATCTCTTAAAGTGATATTTATTAGATATATTTATTTACATGTACATTAGCTGAATCAACAGGGAATGACAATTCAAGGAGGTTGTTTACATTGAAGGCTTCGCAAGTGCAAAGTGCCTTGGCAGCTTAAATAAAGCAAAAGAAAGAAAGAACACACATTTTTTTTTCCATTTGTGACTGCTTCCCCAGCAGACAAGGATCTCTGAAAATTCAGAGTTTTTCCAGGGTGCTGAAAAGATTTAATGAAGTTGCTAGTCACTTCTTGTTGAAGCCACGATAGTTAAAATATATTTTAAGTTTTTTTTTTCTTTTTAAAGTGCTGTGCTGTTAAAACAATCACCATTTTCCTATTTAAAGATATACAAATGCCTCAATTATCTTGTTCCTGACAACATCACCTCTCCTCTGTGGATTTCCCAGCCTGCTGCTAGTTCCTTGAGAGACGGGCAGGTGTGCTCAGAGGAACTACATGCTCACGTGCAAAGAGCGCATGCAGATGACTTCAAATGTCTAGATGAAAGGAACATTGAGAATAGCACAAAATGCTCCTTTGCCAAGTTAGAAAAGTTCATTCTGAAGTTCGGGAAAATCACAGAGTTTTTCAAATGTGCATTTCAACTCAAGAGGCAGAAGGTTCAAAGTCACCTTCCCAGAAAGCCTAGGTCATCGGAACAAGGTTCGTCTGCACTGGACCCCGATGACAAAACCCACAGACCCGCCTCTCCCCTGCAGATACATCCATACAACTTTTGTGCATCAGGCTAAAAATAATAATATAAATAATAATCAGCTGAGTCCCAAGGGCACAATAATATTTTTTTTTTAAAGAGTAAAGTGCTTTGGTGACTTTTTCCCCCCCCGCTACTGAATTCCATAATGTGAATGAACTCAATAAAACAGGACAATGAAACACCAATTTCCTGAACTAAATAACAGAAAAAGAAAAGCAGCAGGGGATCTTGTTCATTTACTCTTTCGGCACTTTAAAGTTGTCTTTCTCTTTGCGTATGGCTCCCATGGTCCGAACGGGGTCCGTTTCCCGGGCATGGCGCTGCACGGTTGCTTCTCTGTCCAGAAAGGGGAAAAAAAAAAATTAGGGCAGTGATTCTCAACCTAAATAACTTGGTCTGAAAACCTGGCCTTTGAAAGGGGACGTGGAAGCTTTTCATAAAAGGACAGCTCCTACATTTGGGGCTGAAATAAAAGTAGAATGTTCTTCATCAGCTACTAATTGCTGGTTTATGATCCTCTGTTGAGTGTCAGGGGGCAGCTTTTTTTTTTTCAAACCCGCTGGGAAACAGCCATGTCTCCACCACAATCCTGTTATGGAGAAATTACCTCACTCTCATGAAGGGGTTGTATGTGAATTCTTCACCAATGGTGGATGGGATGGTTGCCTCACCTCCATCGTATTTGGCCTACGGGAAAAAAAAAAAAAAGGGAAGAGCTTGAGAAAATTCCAACAGACAGAAGCCTTGAGGGACACATTTATTGTGCAGCTGCATCAACAGATAATCTGCTGCATCAGTTGTGGGCATAAGCAACATAGAATGATTCTTTGGTTTTTATTTCTTTGCCATTTTTCCCCTCCCAGCAGAAAAACTGGCCATTTCTGCCAGGGCTCTGAACAAACCATGGAAAACCAAGAAAGAAGAAGGCCAGACAGCAGGCTGCGAGGGTCAACCGCCACATTAATGCATTGGGGGAATCAAAATGGGAGTTTCCTACAGCCATAGAGAGCAAGCTGAAACTTCTTAGGAGCCATTCCTGTTTTTTTCCAAGGAAGGAAAGTGTAAACTCTCTTGCCTTCGCCCATGACAGCTTTTGTTGGATGGCAGCATTATTTGGTTCCACCTGCCGGGCAAACTTTAAGTTGTTGATGGTATATTCGTGGCCACAATAGACTTTCTAGCCGGGAAAGAAGCAGAAAAAGAGAAAATTAGAAGGCACCAATTCAGAAACTGCAGGTCAGCCTCACCAGATGCTTTCCAAAACATTATTTAACAATTGCAAATGAATGACAGATTCATGTATATTCGACAATGTTATTTGCCTCAATTGCTTAAAATGGGGTGTGGGGGGGTGTCTTATGGGGCCAGGGAAGGATATATTTGGCCTTTGTGATTGGGACTTGTAGAAAACTCTGTTTTTGTTCGTCCAGGTTTAGAATGCTGTATAAATCCAGGTCACTTGTCTTTCAGCCCCCCACCCCCACCCCAAGAGGTTTAGTAGTCATACAAAAATACCGTTTCAGGGGGGAGGCGCCCCAAGACCTCAATCAAAGCCCTGTACATTTCTTCTGGGGTTCCTTCAAAGAACTTTCCACACCCAGCCACAAACAAGGTGTCACCTAGAAGAAAGATGGGGTTCAAAAAATAGAAACCGACTACGATGCTAGGCAAGAACTGGTACACTGCTGAAAGCACAAACAGCGGACACGGTTGTATAGAATGAATAGTAACCTACACATTTGTTTAGTTCTTGCAAATGCCACAGAAGAAAAATGTAATCTGCCTACTTTGTGGTTAGGCTACAATGCTAGTTTATTTTGGACTAATATATTTTATTGACAGGCATAAGCCTTTATAAACCAGTCTTCAAGTCCCGCTGGGCTCCTTTACCATAATGAGTGTTGTTTAGTTCCTGGGTGCAGAACACCTGTATAATCTGAGCAGGATCACCTGCTCAAGGTGTGAAGGTCACTCTAACTGCCCAACTGAAGCGAGCAGGTGCCTGTATCAATACAGGAAGATGCTGTAGGTGGATATTCTCTCTAGTACAATGGTGGGAGCACAGAAGCTCACATCGGTTAGGATGCTGAGTCGAAAGTTAGCAAGTCCACATTTGAGATCTGAGATCTGTTGCACGGTGGGGTGAGCTCCTGTCATTTGCTCCAGCTCCTTGAAGCAGTCCCCACAGGTGTCTCTCTGGGGCTACAGTGATGTCACTGGCTAATCCTTTCAACCTAGAAGCACTTCAAACGATGCCTCCAACATGAACAGGACGGGAGTATAACGGCAAGCACAGAATTTCATATTGAGCAGGAAAATGCAATAGTAAACCACTCCTACGA